AACCAGGTTGTGCCAGAATCACGGGGGAGGCACAGAGAGGAACTTAGGGGATGATCCAGAGGAGCAGGCAGTGGGCACTCAGTGGGCTTGGGACAGGAGTGACTGACCAATCACTGCAGATATTTTCAGTATTTTAATAGCTAGTGAGACTCAGCTGATTCCTGTCAGCTGAATATTGCCCTGTCTCTGGACAGCAAAGCATGTCTCAGGGTCCTGGGATCTGGGACAGGTGGGGACATTGCACCAGGGTCAGTGGAGTTTTGAGGGTCTGGAACCCTCCACTTCCCTCCCCCTCCAGCCTTACCCTCCACCTCTGGGTGCTTCGTGAGCAGCAGGAAGCCGTAGCGCAGGGTGGTGCTGACGGTCTTCGCGCCCGCAATGAAGAGGTTCAGCGCGGTCATCACCAGGTTCTTCATGTAGAACTCTGTGTTGGGGTTCTTCTCCTCCTGCAGGGAGAGGGGGCTTTAGGCCAACCTCACACCTCTTGCTCTCAGGGCCCTGCTAGGGCTTTTCCTTTAGATCTACCTCTCTTCGATTCAGACCAAAGATGGAAAGAGGGACCCTAGATCTGCCAGGCTCACTCCAGGTTCCAGCCCTTGCCCTGGCTGCTGGTTCTACCCAAAATGCTCTTCCTTCTCACCTAGCTTACCTGACTAGCTGTCCTTTAACTGTCAGATTTGTTATACCTTTTTTTTTTTTTTTTCTAAGTTAGAGACTGGGTCTTGGGATGTGGCTCAAGCTGGAGTGAAACTCATTGGCTCAAGCAGTCCTTCCGCCTCAGTCCCAGGTAGTTGGGACTATAGGCATGCACCACCAGGCCAGGCTCAGTTGTCCCTTTTTTTAAATGGTAGAAATATTTAGAAAAAGAGGGATAGAGAGATACAATGAGAAAAAGCACAGATGTTGTAAGGTCGAGTGAGTCCGAGAGAGTGAAAAAGAGGCATAGTTTCTCTGACAGACAGAGCTTTAAGCAACAGCATCCTATTTCTTCCCTAAAAATCTTGATGCTTACTGTGGAGGAACCCCCTCCCTTGATCCTTTCTCCCTGAGCTTAGACTCCCTAAAGCCTTCCCACATGGGAGACTGACATCCACATGGAGGTGGGGATCCTGCAATGTACAGCCAGGTCACCTGTCCACAGAGGTGTGTCTGCTAACCAGGGCATGATAGGTTAGTGAGCATGGTGGCTAAAAGCACCAGCCCTTGGATCACCTGAGGTCAGGAGTTCAAGACCAGCCTGGCCAACATGGTGAAACTCCATCTCTACCAAAAATACAAAAATTAGCTGGGTATGGTGGTGGGCGCCTGTAATCCCAGTTACTTTGGAGGCTGAAGCAGGAGAATCACTTGAACCCAGGAGGTGGAGGTTGCAGTGCGCCAAGATTGCACCATTTCACTCCAGCCTGGGTGACAAAAGCGAAACTCTGTCTCAGAAAAAAAAAAAAAAAAAAAAAAAGCACCAGCCTTAGACTTAGATAGACCAGGGTTTCAGCTTGGGGGACCTCAGCTTCCTCTCTGTGTGACCTCAGGGAAGCCACTTATACTCTCTGGGCCTCAGTTTTCTCAATTGTAAAATTGAGGCCATGATTGAACCTCCTCAAGAGCTGTCATGAGTGCTAAAGCAGGGACTATCTTAAAGCACTTAACGCAGTGCCTGGCACATGGTAGTTCTGTAGAAGTGCTTGCTATTTGAATTCACATACACAAGTCCTGCCTCTGGGTGAGGGGTCGGTAGATAGGGGTCACTATATCAACAGCAGTGGTTGATATAGTTGGGATTGTGAGGATTATTATGACAGGGGCTAATTTGAATGGGCCTGTGTTGTCTGCCCTCCCCACTGCCAGCCTGATTTCCCTCTGCCTGGCTTTGCAGCTCCTCCCATTGGCTGCTGGGGTGTACCTCCTGCAAGCGGATGAGAAAGGAGTCGATGAACTGGGATCCAGCGTGCGCTGGTTGTGCTCCACCTTTTTGGCTATGAAGTCGTCCAGCCCCTGCAGCTCTTTAAAGGTCTGTTGCTGTGGTCCTGGCAGGTGTTTCATTACCGAAGAGAACATCTCATGGAGCTGGGGTTGTGGAGAGAGGATGGGAAGGGAAGGACAGCTGTCAGGGGGCAGGAATTGATGGGAATGGAACCTGTGTCAGAGAAAGAAAGGCACTGGGTTGAAGGTACTTACATGCCCAGGTGTTCAGGTATTTCAGTGGGGCTGGATGGGAGCATATATCTAAGTTTTCATGAGGGTTAAGGGAGAAGGCTGCTGTCCAGGAATTTAGGTTACATGGATTGAGGCATACATCCAGGTTTCAGTAAGGCTGGATTGGAGCACACATCTAGGTGTTCAGATATTCAAGGCAGGATGTGTTGGAAGACATCTGTTCAAGTGTTTAGCTACTCGGGTGGGGCTGGTATGAGGGGAGTGTCACCTGTCTAGGTATGTTGGCATTCAGGTGGGCTTGCTTGGAGACAACTACCAAGATACTTATTGGGTATGGATTGGGGGCTTTTGTTCAGGTGTTCAGGTATTAAAGCGGGGCTGGTGAAGAAGTAGAGGGGATACCTGTTCAGGTGTTTACCTATCCAAGTGGGATGCACTGGGGGCACCTCTGTAAGGTGGGTGATTGGAAAGGTTGGGGAACACTTATTTGGGTGTCTGGGGAATAATCTGTCTAGACATTTATGTATTTAGGGTGTTGGTTAGGGCAGCTGTCGATGTTTTCAGGTATTTAAGTGGGTGAAGTAGAGGGCGCTTGGCCAGATATTCCAGTGGGCTAATTTGGGACATTTGTGTAGATGTGAAATGATTATGATGGGCTGGATTTTGCAGCACCAGGTGTTCAGGTATGCAGGAGGGGGGTAGAAGCAGTCACTTGTCCAGGTGTTAAAATATTCAGAAGAACAGGGTAGGGAGCCCCTGTTACAAATTAGGGTAAGTTGGGGATGGGAACACGTGCCCAGGTGAGAGAGCTGAGCTGAGGGCTTGCATCCTGCCGGCAGGCTCTGTTCTGGGGAGCATCTGTTGAGCTATCCAGGTGTCCTTGGAGACTGGGTATTGGACACCCATCCTGGTTTCTGGTGCAACTGTCCAGTTGTCCAGTATTGGGGGCTGATTTGAGGGGACACTGTCTGGAGGCGGGTGGGCGTTTGGGGCACCTGTCTCCAGATAGGGGAGCAGTTGGCAGGTTGTGGTAGGGGCGTCAGGGGCCGGGTTGCAGCCGGTTACCTGCCCCGTGGAGGTTGCCGTGAACTGGAAGCTTTCCCGCATCATGCGCAGCAGTGACAGGAACTTTCGTCCTCATAGTCAAAGCGGTCACCAAAGGCTGTGGAGCTGATGACATTGGAGACGGTTCGGCTCAGGAAGAAGGTAGGATTGATCCTGGAGCTTGCGGGTGTGGCGGTGTGTTGGGGGAGAAGGGGTTTGGGGAGAGAGTCAACTCAGAGGTCTGATGCCAGTCTGAGAATTCCAGGAGGCACTGCCCTGATAAACCAAATTCCCAGGGCCAGACTCCAGGGCTCGGAGCGCGGGCGCCTTTCCCCACCTAGTCCGCGTTCCCAGACATAGTTGCGCGCGCAGATTCCTTGCCCTGGGCGTTTTTCTTCTCCAGCCTCAGCTGCTCACCGCGCGTGCTCACCGCGCGTGCTCACCGCGCGTGCTCACCGCGCGTGCTCACCGCGCGTGCTCACCGCGCGTGCTCACCGCGCGTGCTCGCGCGTGCTCACCGCGCGTGCTCACCGCGCGTGCTCACCGCGCGTGCTCACCGCGCGTGCTCACCGCGCGTGCTCACCGCGCGTGCCCAGGAAGGCCTGGATGAGGAAGCCCGCCTTCTCCTGGATACCTCCTGATGCCGTGCTTGCCCACCCCGAAGTTCCGCAGGGTGGCGATGGAGAAGTGCCTGAGCGGCTTGGCGCGCTCCAGGGTACTGAAGGTCACTCCTGGGTAGGGAACGCAGGGGTGGAGTCAGGCGGCGGGGGCAGGCGCAGAAACCTCGCGCAGGAGAGCTGCAAACTCAGTCAGAGAAACAGAGAGGGACAGAGACCGAATGGGAAGAAGAGGATCAGAAAAGAGACAGGCCAGAGAGACAGATGCACAGCGAAACAGAGGGAGACGGGACACTTCACAGAGTGTAAAGAGGGAAGGAGGGAGAGAAAGAGAGACAGAGATGGGAGAAGAGGATGGAAGGAGGGGAAGTGAGATATGGGGAGATCTGGGAGGAGAAAATAAAAAATGGTGAAAGAGTCTCTTTTGTTTGTATATTTGTTTATTTGTTTTTGAGACAGATTCTCGCTCTGTCGCCCAGGCTGGAGTGCACTGTCGCGATCTTGGCGGCTCACTGCAACCTCCACCTTCCGGGTTCAAGTGTAAAAACGGTGAAAGATTCTTAAGCTGAGCTGGAGAAGAGGGAAAATTACTGCGACAGAAACAGAGAGGGTCTGGAAGGAGGAGAGACCGTTACCAGGAGATGGAGGCTGGAGATGTGGAAGTAGGAATACCGTGAAATCCTAAGACAGAGGAAGAAGGAGAGGTCAGTGGACAGAGGAGAAACACGGAGAAGCACAGAATCTGAGAAGGACAAAAAGACAAATGAAGACAGAGGACCAGGGCTGGAAAACAGAAACCCGGGATGTCCTCAGAGATGGAGACAGAGGGGAAGGAGGAGACTCCAGTGAGAGAGGCAGGGAGAAATCTGGACAGGGACAGGGATGCTGGAGACAGGCAAGAGGGAGAGGACACCATGAAGGGAGCTGGGGAGAGAAGACCAGACTGGGAGCTCTGCTGCAGCCTTCAGTGGGCAGGAGAGTCAGGAAGAAGGCTGGGCACACAGAGGCCATCGAGTCGGCCTGGCCAACTTCCTCCTCCGGGATCCCCTCACCATAGCTTTTGAAGACCCAGTTGAAGGTGGCCTGCTCGCCTCGCCCGCTGAACTCCTCAGCCTGGTCCACCAGAGCCTCCCTGACGGCATCATGTCCGCACAGCACTACGACCCGCCGGGGCCCCAGGTGAAGGGTGAACACCGGGCCATAGCGCTCACTGATCTGATGGAGGCGGGTGGGAGAGGTTAGAGGGAGCAGCCCCTGCTCCGAATGGACCCAGCACCGAGATTTCATGTACTGGGATGTTTCGCCCAGTCGGGTTCTCACAGTCAGGGAGCTGGACATTCCAAGATCCTGTCTTTCCTGGCTAGGACCCTGACGCTTAACCTCCAAAACTCCCTTTCCTGAGACTCTGGTCCACAGTGGTCAATCCCCTGCCACAAAGCTCCAGCCAGATGGGCAGCCGCCACCCCGTGCCACCCATCTCCCTGCCTTGGGACACCTTCATGAGGGAGGTGCACATCTGCTCTGTGTTCAGCTGCAGGTAGTTTCCAATGAAGGGCAATGGGGTGGGTCCCAGAGGGAGCTTCCCCCTGCTCTTCCTCTGCTGCCAGACAGACATCAAGACCATTACAGTCAGGCAGACCAGCAAGGCCACCAGAAGCGGCCCTGAGGCCAGCATGGTGGCAGTGGAATGATCGATGGTGACGGCTGGGGTGGTTTGCCTTTATACTGCCTGAAAAAGAGGGGTGGACTTTGGCTGGTTATATAATCACCTCATTTGGTGATTGTAACTACACTCCCTCCATGAACCCCACCTAGCTTGGGACACAGCCAGCAAGGGAGGAGGAGGGGGACCCCAGGGCAGCTGAACCAGGAGGGGACCTCCAGACTAAACCTGTGGTACTTTGGGAAGGGTGCCGCGGGGCTGTGGATTTAGGAGGAGGCATCAGATAAACTGTAGAACTGAGGAGTTTGGAATATTTGCATAGGGAAGCACCTGGATTTTGGATTTGGGATCTGGGAGTGAGAATGCACCCCAAAGTTGTGGATTTGGGGATCCCAAGGAGAAGAATCCAAAGGTCTGGGTTTTATTAGGGTGAGATGGAAGTGTGGCTGTGCATTTGGGGGTCTTCTGGTGAGAAAGATGCAGGATTAAGAGTCTCAGGAGGGGGGATTCCAGGCATATGGACTTGAGAGTCTTGGGGCTAGGAAGACCTAGGGCTGTGGGTGTGGAGTTTCTGGGAGGAGGAGTGTGTAGCAAGCCCAGCAGCTCCTCCCAGAGAGCCCAGCAGCCCAGCACTGGGCCCGGGTACTGACTTGATTTTGCTGTGGCCCAGAGCTGTCTCTTGTTGCCCAGAATCCTCATTGGAACCTCAGAGTGAGGCCAGGATGGGTGCCATAGAACCTCCACTGCACATCTCTGGTTGGGAAAGGGTTGGAAGACTAGAGCCATATTTCAAGGGAACTTTCCACATACCTGGAGAAGAGTACCTCCTGTTATCAGTTGGCAGAGGGTTTGGCCAGGTCTGGAGAAATAGTAATAACAACCCCCAAATGGTAGAAAAATCTCATGTCCCAAGGGTTGGAATTTACAATGACCTCCACTGGTTTCCAACCCGGATCCTTAGGGAGACCCACTAGATTGATTGTATCATCCCTATTAATATTATTATTGTTATTTATGTTTCTCATTTTATATAAGGGTCTACAGAGGACAGAAAACAGACAGTGGGCAGGGGACATGCGTGAGTGGCCCTGAACTCCCATCTCTCCTCCTCTGCATCCTTAGTTCCACTTTCTGGATTTGGTTTTCCCACCAGTGGAAAGGGAGTATTTAGGAAGAGAAGATAATATTTGAAGGTCAGTTAAGTCTCCTTTAAGAGCAATTCCTGCTTTGTCAGGGGCTACCACTATTAGCAGGCAGAGGGAACAATCGCAGAAGAGATTGGGGTAAACTCCAGTGTTAGGCACAGAGGCAGAGCCTGGGGTGGGTGGGAGTGGAGAAGGGATGAGTAGCCTCTTGTCCTTCCCTCAGGGAAATTCTTCCTTAGTAAACAGGACAGTTACCCTTTGGTGAGCACGATTGTATATGGGAAGATCAAGTCTAGGTGTGTATGACCTGGTTGAATCTTTGTAACAATGAGGTTGGTTCATCATCATCCTCATTTTGAAGATGAGCAGATCTAGACTCCATAAATCCTCTTGAGTGAGGTCACACAGGGAGTAAGTGAGGGAGCTGGGATATGAACTCTCTCCTCGTTCCCCTTCAGTGACTGGCCTAGATCACCCTGGGAGTCAAGTGTGGGCCAGGCTTAGCAGGAGGTGAGTGCCGAGACTGGTATCAGCAGTGGACACAGGGATGACACTGGCGGGTTCTGATATCTGCATCAGATATGGCCAGGGAGGGGAGGCATCGTGCTGGCTTTGAGACTGCCCCCAGGTGTACATGAGGATGGGAAAGAAGTTGGCACTGAACTTGACACCAGGAGAATATTAAAGTCACGTTTGGTGCCAAGAGGGCTCTGTGTGTTGTCTCAGGTGTCACTGAGGGCATAAGAGTGTCCTGCTTCAGGAGGGCATAAGAGTGGCACCATATAGGGTCTGAGGTTGGTTCCAGTGGGCTCTGAGATGAGCATGAGGCAGGTGCTGAGATTGGTCCTATGTGGGCCTGAGATAAGCCTCAGCCAGATCCTGAGAGGGGCCCCAGATGGGCACAGGACGGGCTCTGATGGTTGGTCCTTCCAGGGTTGCACCTCTTCTCTGGGTCACCAACTTTGGACAAGTGGAGGTAGGTGAGGTTGACACTCCCAGGACTGGCTCTAACTGGCTCAAATTAGCTGTTGAGCTCTGAGACCTATGTGGAGGGATCAAAGAGCAGAGAACAAAGCAGAGAGAGGGAAGCCGTTTATTGATTTTGTGGGGGCAGAGGTGGGAAGGAGGATTAGCACCAGCGGGACAGACATCAATCCCTTTAATCCTGGTCACCAACCTGCACTCAGGCTGGCCACAAGCCTGGGTCCTTCCTCTTCTCCCTCATTTCTTAAAAAGAAGAGAGGTAGAAATGTGGGGAGTTTGTTTCTCAATGAGGTTGGCACTAGGAAGGGCACTGAGTGTTCGGACAGGCTGCCATGACCAGGGAGGGCGTGGGGAGTCAGGTTGGGAGAACTCTAGTATTTGGGGACATAGAGGTCTGGCAATTTTGGCCCTGTTGATTACTCTGGAGCGTGGAGTAAGAGAATGGTATCTGAAATTACGTGGGAGGGACTTGTCCCAATGGTGGTGACTTGGGTACAGGCTTTCAGAATGAGTTAGTGGCGAACCCAGGAAAATCCCTTTCCATTGTTGGGCCTGTGTTTCCCTTTCTGGATGGATGGTACAGTGGTTAAGAACAAGGTTAAGGCATGGATTGGAATCCAACCCTTATCCCTTCTTTGTTGTGTGACCTTGAAGAACTGACTTCATCTCTCTGAACCTTATGGAGCCAAAAACAGCTCCTAGCTCTTCAGCTGTTTAGGTGAGAAGTATATGGGTCAATGCAGGCGAGTTACATGTAAGTGTGCAATGAATATTGGCTGTTCTTATTAAGGATGAACAGAATGGATGAGATGTTCTCTAAGCCCCCTCCTGCCTTTTGCAATTCTCTGGTCTAATGTTCCCAAAGCTTTTCCTTTGAGAAGGGGGAAGGGAGACAGAGTCTTTTGGGAACCTCTCTCCCCATCCCTTCCTTAGCATAGGCAAGCCTTACCCCATGAAGCTGTGAATAGGAAATTGACCTTAGGCTGCCTCCTAGAGCATGGCGCTGAGTTAAGTAATATTCGCAGGAAGAAAGGCCAGTGTTAGACCCTCAGATTACTCTGGATGGGCCTGGAGCCCTGGCCAGGACTTTGCCCACCTGTCTCTCTCCCTTTTTCTCTGATCTTGTCTTTCTGTCTTTCTCTTTCTCCTTCCCTGCAAGTCAACCTTCCCCTCAAACACCCTGTGTGCTCCTGCAACTTTGCAAGTTTGCGTCATTTTGTCCAGTGGTTTCTCCTAGATGCCTCTGCCATGTTTATCCTTATTTATACGCCTGTCTGTATGTGTGTCACTCTGGGTGCATGCTTGAGGTTTCTGTATGCATATATGTTTCAGCATGTCCCTGTTGATAGATGAGTTTATGCATGCACCAGGCTTTGTGGGATGTGTGTTTGTGCTGGATAAGTGGGCATCCATTCCAACTTAGTCTGCACATGCACGTTTGTGTGAGTGCCTGATGAGGTGCATGTATGTCCATGCCACTCTTCCTGAATGTTTGCCAGTCTCTCTCTGTCTGTGCATGTAGTCTGAGTGCATGCTTTGGGTTTTATCCCTTGGGGGGTATCTATGATGTACATTTCTTTGTCCAACCTGATATATGGCTGCATGTTCACATTTGTGTGGATGCATGCACAACTGGGTGACTACATATACGTGTGTGGATGTTTTTGTGCATACATTCTGGTGTCTGTATGCAGGCACGTGGGCCCTGTTGTGTACACATGAACATCTGGTTCACAAACACCTGTCTGTGTTTGGATTAAAAAATAGCCCTAGCCTAGACCCATTTCTCTTCAAAACAAAACAAAGCAACAACAACAAAACACCGTGTGAAGCTTTTTATGAGTATGATCTTAATTACACTCTGCACTGCAAGCCTGTGACGTTGGTTTTATCATCTTCGTTTTGCAAATAAGTTGGATAAGGCTTCCAAAATTGGAAGTCCTTTGCTTTGGATTCTACAGCAAATGAGGGTAGAGCCGGTGTATGGCCTTGTGTGACTGTCAAGTCCATGCTGTGAACTACCACTCCGGACTGCCAAGTTCCACCTGTTTTCTTTATGAAACATCAGAAAATTACCCCTAATCTCCTGTGGTTCTTGAAAAACTTCCCTGTAAGCCTGTAACAAAACATTCCAAAATGTTAGGGGGAAAAAAAGTCTTTTATTAGGAGGGAGACTTCAACTTCTATAGTTTTTGTGTTCTTTGGAAGATTAACCAAAGATCTGGTCAGCTGGCATACCCCTCAGGCCATTGGCAGTGAGACAGTGCAGGGGTTGGGGAACTAGCTGTTGTGGGTGGAGAGTGAAATGTCTGTGTTTCATATTTCAGAGTGATGACAAGGGTGAAGGTGGGCCTGTGGAAGTGTTGGCTGAAATAGAGTGACGAAGGTCAAAGAAAAGAAGAAAGTCAAGATTCTTTCTTTCTGAGTGTTTGGATAGCTCACATCCATGGCCAGAAAGTGCTTCCCTACTAGTAGAATGTCAGGGGTTAGAGTAGAGAGGCAGGAAAGAAGTTGGGTAGATGACAGAGATGAACAACTTTTTAAATAACAGGGTGAAGTGTCAGTGTCCAAGTGTTCTGGAGAGTTTTTTCTGGTAATTGTTGAGTAGCTTCTATTATCAAGCATCCTGTGAATAACAGCTATTAACTCTGAATAAAACATTTTTAAGAACCCAATTATCTGAAATTACTGGAGAGTGAACAAAACCAGCAGATACTGAAGGGGGTTGGATGAAAGAGATTTCCTATTTTGGGTGTTTTTTTTTTTTTAATGCTTTCAGCCTAAAGGCAGACCCTGGAAAGTGCCTTGTGAGGTGGCTTAATCCCAGATAGAGACGCTTTAATTTTTTTTTTTTTTTTTTTTTTTTTTTTTGAGATGGAGTCTCACTCTGTTGCCCAGGCTGGAGTGCAGTGGTGCGGTTTTGGCTCACTGCAAGCTCCGCCACCTGAGTTCACACCATTCTCCTGCCTCAGCCTACTGAGTAGCTTAGACTACAGGTGCCTGCCAGCATGCCCAGCTAATTTTTTGTATTTTTTAGTAGAGACGGGGTTTCACCGTGTGAGCCAGGATGGTCTCTATCTCCTGACCTCGTGATCCACCCACCTTGGCCTCCCAGAGTGCTGGGATTACAGGTGTGAGCCACTGCACCCGGCTGCATATGGCTAATTTTTTAATCTTCATTTTTTTTGTAGAAATGGGGCTGCCTATGCTGGTCTTGAAATCCTGGTCTCAAGTGATCCTCCTGCCTTAGCTTCCCAAAGTGCTGGGATTACAGACATGAACACACCATGCCTGGCCTATGTCTTAGTTTTCAACAAGAAAGCTTAAATAGTAAAATAAACAAATAAATAATCCTAGAAATAGAAAAAAAAACCTGTAGGATATAAAAGATATATATTAGCATATAAAGACAGAAAATATTTTGGTATAGCTGTACAGTGCGTTTGTGTTTTCAGCTAAGTGTTATTACCAAAGAGTCAACAATTTAAACAATTTTTAAAGCTTATAAAACAGTTACAGTCAACTAAAGTTAATATATTTACTCATTTATTTAATTTTGAGACAGGGTCTTGCTCTGTCACTGAGGCTGGAGTGCAGTGGTGAGATCATGACTCACCGAAGCCTCGACCTCCTGGGCTCAAGCAATCCTCCCACCTCAGCCTCCTGAGTAGCTGGGACCACAGGCATGTGCCACCACACCCAGTTAATTTTTGTATTTTTTACAGACAGAGTTTTGCCATTTTGCCCAGGCTGGTCTCAAACTCCTGGGCTTAAGTGATCTACCCACCTCGGCCAAAGTGCTGGGATTACAGGCATGAGCCACTGTGTCCAGTCTAAATTTAATTTATTGTTAAAATATTTTAAAAAATAAATTTATTTAAAATAATTAAAAAGATAAATTTAGTCTACAATAGTGTACAATAGTGTCCTAGGCCATCACATTCATTCATCCCTCACTGACTCGCCCAGAGTAACTCCCAGTCCTATAACCTCCATTTATGGTGAGTGCCCTACATGGGTGCCAGTTGTTCTTTCATGCTATATTTTTACAGTACCTTTTCCAT